TCTAATTTAAGTGGGGGAGAGTTGTAACACCCGGAATCTGGAATACTAATTAAGGAAATATAATATGTAATTTGAAGGTCAACTCGTCGAGTCCAAGGGGGATAACTCGACAAGTAGGAAATAAGTTGGGACGCGGGTTGAGAAACCTACTCGACGAGTTGGGGAGGACCAACTCGACGAGTTGGGGAGGACCAACTCGACGAGTTGGTCGGGGTTTGGAAAACCCTAAATTCGGGGTTTTGCACCCTATTTAAGCATCTTAATCCCCACCTATCAGCCTTATTTCCAGCCTCCAAGTCTCAAACCCTAATCCACAAAACCCTAATGCTTTAGATGAGCTTGTGAGTTATTTTTGAGTGAATCTTGTGTGTTTTGAAGATTATGGAAGAAGGAGAACATTGGGGATTCCAGAAGAAGCATTAGATGTTGGATCTTCTCCATCTTTGGCAGCTTTCTGAGGTAAAAGTCCTTAACTTGGTGATTCATAGCTTAAATTTCTTCTAATTTTAATTTATGGGTCTTTTCGACCCCATTGTGGGAAAAATGATACCCTCCATGGATTGTATGTTAAGGATTCCCATTTTCAAGTAATATTTGGCCCTTAGAATCATAAAAAGGGTCTTAAACCCGTTCTTGTCCAAGAAAAGGCCATGTTCATGGAAGTAGGTTGCTATATCTCGAGTTTGGGTCCATTTGAGGCGTGCAAAGCTATCAAGTTGTCAACTTTACAGAAATAGGTTATGGTAACAATATGGATTTGTATTCTGGAATCTTAGATCTGAGGAAAAAGCGGTATAGGCTAGAAATGCAAGGTACTCGACGAGTTTATAGAGGAACTCGATGAGTTCGGTCGAATATTCTCGATCATGTTCATGGAACTCGGCGAGTCCACAAGGGAACTCGACGAGTTGTATGGAAAAGTCCCGATTCTCTTATAAGGAAGAACTCGGCGAGTCGTAGGAGAACTCGACGAGTCAGATCGCGGTTTCACGACTCTGTGAATCATGGGAACTCGACGAGTTGAAAGGTAAAGTCGACGAGTTGAGTCAACTCAGAGCGTTGACTTTGACTTTGACTTGACGTTGAATTTGACTAGAGTTGACCCTAGAGAGTTATGAAGTATGGAGTGGGTTCTAAAGGGGTAGCCCAATAAGGATTTTGGGCCCAATTTGGAAAATTAGGCCACTAATGGGCTTTGATGGATTTTATGGTTTGGACCTTATTGGTTTTGGGCTTGGGTCTTAGTTTTGGGTCTTGTTAGGCCAGGGGTAAAATGGTCATTTTACCCCAAGTTTGGATTATGGTTCGTGGTTTATAACTTAGTTGCTAATTGGATTTGTGTTGGTATTTGTTAGTTGGGAGAACCGTCAGGGCAACAACTAGGGAATTCGGGCAGCAAGCTTCAGCATTCGAGGTGAGTCTCCTCATTGTGTGTATGGGTCTAAGGCACCAATGCGGACCCATTTAGTTTGTGTATGGTTGGAAGACCCGGGGGTTAGCCCTAGGCATTATGTATGAAAGATGAGGAGGCGGCTTCTGACACACAATATGTTATTATGGTAGGAAGACCCGGGGGTTAGCCCTAGGCATTATGTATGAAAGACCAGGAGACGGCTCCTGGCACACAATATGTTATTATGTATGAAGACCCGGGGGTTAGCCCTATGCAATATGTATGAAAGACCAGGAGGTGCCTCCTAGCACACTGTATGCTCATTAGCTAAGTAGAATAGTATGTATGGTAGATGTCTTTGTGATACTTGCATGGAAGACCAGGAGGTGGCTCTTGGCACTTGTCTGTAAGACCCAGGGGGTGGTCCCCGGCTTGGCAAGAAAGACCACGTGGCGGCCCGTGGCATAACGGCAAGACTATGTGCGACACATAACAACTTATTTGATTACGGTATATGATTGATATGTATGGCTCACAGTTACGTATGGCATGTATGGATCAGTAGATATGTATGGTATGTGGTATTTGGGGAACTCACTAAGCTTCGTTCTTACGGTTTACGATTTTGGTTTCAGGTACTTACGAGTTTTCAGATGAAGGAGCTCGGGACGATCACGACGCATTCACCCATGTTGTTCCGCAATATGTGATCTTTGGGATTAGATTCTGATATTAGTTTTAATTAAATTGCTTTCAATGTTTGGAACAAAGTTATTAAAGTGTTTTCTTATATTAACAATGAAATTTTTGGTCTTGAATTTTGGGATGTTACATTATATGCAATGGCGTAAAGCGTGAACAATGTTGTCTAAGCCGAGTATGTAACTTTAGGTTCGTCAAGAGTGCGGACCTTTGTTTGGATATTTGTGACTGTGTAAGCCGGGTGCAAGGCATCATGAGTCTTGGAGTCGGAAGATCCTAGTTTATCTCCCATTGAGGTGATAGAGTAAAAAAATGTCAAAGGCAGCAGAGAAAAAAAATTAATGGATGTTGTTAGGATTTCTGAACCGTAGCTCTGATACCATGAAAGTAGATTGGGATTGAAGGAATCAATCCCTTGTATTAATTATTAAAACCCTTTATATAGGGGAAGAATTAGAAGGAAAATACAGCCACTATTTTAGGAATAGAAAACAATAAATATTAAATACAATCTTTATCTAACTGTGAGAATTGAGTCGGTCTCTAATACCGGGAACTCATCTCCATAACTTGACCACAATTTAGCTACAATTTAATAGAACAAACGAGTAATAAGTAATAATGTAATTATTATATATTTTATCAGGTTATATTTTTCCTAAAATTTACCAAGTTGTATTTTCTTCCTCATTAGCAGGGCTGCGGATATCCCAAACATCTCGATGCTCTCATTGAACTTCTAAATACTCCTCCAAAACAAATTTTTTGCAATAGTTACATTGCAATCTAACTCTATTATTTGGGTCTAATATTTGGTTTTGCCTTTCCTTTTGGCATAATTAAAATCTACAAAACAAAGAACCCGATCAAAGATAATCACATTACTAAACAGAACCTGATCAAAAATAAAAATTGCACACATGTAATATTTGAACAGAGAAAGAGAAAGAACAAAGTTAATAGGGGAAGAAAGAAAAAGAGAACATGTTAAGAAAAGGTCTCTGGGAAAGAGTCTTGAACTAACTCAAATATGTTTAAAAAACAAAATATTCCAAAAATACCCTTGGGGACTCCTTTTGTCCCAGAAAATTCGAATCCTTGAGATAAAAAACTGATGCAACAAATTTATTCACATTCATTCCCATAATCTTAGACAAAAGAACTGAAAAAGAAGAAAGAAACCTTACCTGTTAAGTGATGAAGGATTGTGAAGTGATGAAGGAGTGAAGGAGAATCGCAGGAAAAGTGAAGAAGAAGAATCGTTGGGAAAGTGAAGAAGAAGAATCACAGGAAAGGTAAAGAAGAAGAAGTCTTAGGAAATGAAGAATGCTAGGAAAAAAGAAAAAGCAGACAAGAAGTTTAGTTTAAGAAAAAAAGAAGCGGACATGAAGTTCAATTTAAGAAAAGAAGGACAATACCTTTTTACTCTTTGACTTTTATCTCCATAAAACCCATCATACAGCTGGATAATAGCCTTAACCACCGAATAATAAGTTTAATTGTCGGGTAAACGAAAGTAAGGCATAGGTTTCATGACTCGTCCGATTTACGAGCCAACTCGACTCGGTCCGAGTCAGTACTTGAACCAGAATTTTTTTACGTGTTAGAAAAAAAACGAGTCACCTTACGAGTTGAATCATTTTGGGTATCAAATGGCTTGACTCGTACGAGTCAACTTGTGACTCGTACGAGTTTAACAACTATGGGTGTTATAACATGTTATAAAATGCTGACCATTTTCTTTATTGGTGTTATAATATCATAGGTGATATCGCATGTGAGGTTGTACCTTTTTGATGTGATAAAATGCCTTGTCATATTGCCCATACCCACACACATTCTTGCAATCAAACTACCTTTATCTACATGCATTAATAATAACCAATTCATGCTCCTCTTTCTTTCCCTCTTAGTATCCCGAAAAATAGTAAGTTTTAAGAAACATGATTATGAATATTTATATATGTATATTAAAAATGTTATCATTTTGATGTCCTCTCTTATTGCAAACTTGCAGACCCGTCGACACATCTATATAATATTAACATAGCTACTAAATTTCATTCAAAGTAGACGACCCATTCACCAACCTTCTCCTATATATGTCATTTCTGTAACACGAAAAATTTCTTAAAACTATTTATAAATAAAATGAAATAAAACTCAAACGAATTTCACAATTAAATAAATTCAAAGTTCGAAAATCTCCATAATAGTGAGGCCATATTTTTCAATCCATCCCAAATACGATTAGCCCTTTATTTGGTACATATAAGTCTTCACGTTCAAACCGTTTTCTACCCTACACCATCCAGATATAAGTAAGGATAAATTAAAATAAAATTCAATAGAACACAAAATCGAAAGGAGACCCCAGAAATGACGAAGCACATGATTGGACTGCATTAGTAAGTCAAGTCGTTAAAAGAAAATTTTACTCGTATCATTTCAAAGATTAGGGTAAAACATCTGATTAAATCTTTAGGGTTTGAGAGGGAGTGAGATAGATTAGGGTCAAGATGGAGAAAGAGATAGATTGGGGAAATTGAAATTTTGAGGAATGGTGAGAGGGACATAGGAAGAGTCACCAAGATCGTTGTGTAGGGATGAAGACAGAAAATGTTCGGTGGAAGGCCGATACACATTTTTGCAGTTACCTAGTTGTAAATTATTCATTCATTATATATATATATATATATATATATATATATATATATATATATATATATATATTCAATCAAGAACATTTTTTATCGCGAGAACGTTTGAGAACAAATTTGAACCATACAATTTTAAACCTTTAAAATTTCATAGTTTAGTAATAAAATTATTATATTTATTAATTAGTTAAATAAAAAAGCCCTAACCCCACCCCCACCCCACCGTACCCCACCCCCAAACGAATATGAAATCAAATGTTTCTCTCTCCCATTTGAGCTGCAACACCACCGTGGGAGTCACCGGTGATCGGACATCCACCTCTCCTTCCCCTGACGAAAGGTTTTCCGACTCGTTTCACCGACCACCAGATCTGATTTCACCATATCCGAAGCTCCGATTTTACTATATCTGGAGCAAAAGGCCACCATATGTGGTGGTGTGCAGCGGTGCTTGTGTTATGGATAGCCGCTTGTCTGGTTCTGAAGCTGTCAATGTCTATGGTTAAGTCATTTGATTATTGGCTCCGCTTTCTACAAAGTTGTGTTTGGAGCCGAGGAGATGAATCAAATCAATCGTCGGATAACATCAACGTCGCCTCCTCCTTTACTTAACACCACCGGCGCCTCCTCTTCCTTACCTACAGCCACTGGCATTGCCGTATCTTTCTACACAACCTCCTCTCTCTCTCTCTCTCTCTCTCTCTCTCAAATGATTTGCTTTAGATGATGTTTTTTTGTTAAATTTTTAGCTAATTTGGAACCAGTTTCTTGTTAAATCACATACGTATTCATGTTGGATGCTTCACAGTTTTATTAAATTAACTACTAATTTTTGGCACAATTTTTTCTAATTTTGGGTGTTGTGTTTTTGAGTTGATTTGGTGCATGATGTGTGAGTTATTGACGATCTAAGTTCTTCATTTTTGGGATTGTGGTGATGGAAAAATTTGAACTTATTATGTATGTATACCAACTATTCGATCAAATGTCTGAACCAAAAAAAATTCAAATGGAATACCATGATATAGGTATTAGGTAATTACCATGTCAAGACATTTAGATGTAAATTACCTGAGTACTTGCTAATTGACTCTTATAATAATATCATGTAAGTGATATATTAGTGAAAGATTAACTAATTGAGGATATGTAAGGCACTAAAAGGTTATAAGTAACATGTTTCTTAACCAACAATAATACTTTCGTTTTAAGATCCAAACTTTTATACAATGAAAAGTGCGAGACTTGTTAATGTGAATCCAATACTTCATCATTAACAATAATTTAATGATAAAGCATGTTTTAGTTTAATAATAAAGCATGTATTAGTCTAATAATAAACTATATATGCTTATACTTACACAATTTTATGTCCATGTCCCTTTAACTGGTTGGTTTTCAAATCGAAAGTTGTAGTGAATGCTAAACAAGGGTGTTGTTGATTTTGTGTTCTTTACTTGTTTTTTAAAGTGCTCCAATATAAAAACCATCATTGCTAAATTACATTTTCCATCAAAAAACAAAGCTCCAGTTAAAGGTAATAAAATAAAATTTGTTCTTCGTGACAAAAACATTTTTTTTTAATTTTAGCTCGTTATACATTTTAAATAGTGTATCGGATTTATGTAAACTCATCTTTATTTACATATGAATAAATCATGTTTACTCACAGTGGTGAATAAAGAATGGGTTTTAAAAATAAATTTGATACAATGTTTAATCATATATGAAAAAAGCTAAACTAAAAAAAATATTAGAAAATTTACATCGATTGTTTTTATATGTATAAAAACAAACGAAAACGAAAGATTAAGACTTTCCTTTAAGTATAGTATTGAGGTCATCAAACTCTCCATTTTTTTAGTATAAAACATGTGATTAAATAAATGAGATCACATGTGATTAAATAAATAAATGAGAAAAATTATTGAATCGAAAACATGAAAACAAATCTATCCATATAAGTCATATCATCTCTAATAAATGAATGTTTTTTTTTGCCATTTGTCACACTCTTATTTAATTTTTCAAATGTCATTTTATGGCTATTTTGAATTAATATTTTTTCCACATTTCATTTTATGAGTTTTTTTATTTTTTTTTATTTTTAAATTTTACATAATATTTTAATATAATAATTATAATAAATGTAGTAATAAATTGTATCAATTTCATTAATTAACTTACCTTTTTTTACTTTCAAAATTCTCAAAATTAAAGCTCATTAGTTTCTTTAATTTATTTAACTTATTTGTTTAAATTTAAAAGATAAAAAATATTTTCATTATAACAACTCATTATTTTTCTTATTTTCTTATAAATTTAAAGTTCTCAAATATTTTGACGTTTATATTTAATTTTTTATTTAAATTAACCCATGTAATACATGGGTCTCACAACTAGTGTGATTAGATACAAATAATCACATATGATTATATACACGAGAACAACAATTGAATTAAGAACGTGAAAATAAATCTTTTCCAAATAAATCATATGTAATTAAATAGATATAATCACATGTGATTAAACTCACCACTTACCACCACCACCACCTACCACCACCCACCACTGTCACCACCAACCACCACTACCACAACTACTCACTACCCACTACCCAAGATTTGTTTTTGCATTCTCGATTCAATATTCGTTCTCATTTTTTTTAATCACATGTGATTAAATGTGGTAATCACATATGATTTATATGGACAATATTTGTTTTTAATAATTTATCTCTTGTATCTGATCACATGTGATTATACGTATCTAATCACATGTGATTATATGTATTTAATCACATATGATGTGATTAAATATATATAATCACATATGATTAAACACATGAGACAACTATTGAATCAAGAACGTGAAAATAAATTTTGTCCACATAAATCATATGTGATTAGATACATCTAATTACATTTGATTACATGTATTCAATCACATATGATTTTATATGGACAAAATTCGTTTTCACATTTTCACTTCAATAAATTTTCTCATGTATTTAATCACATGTGATTATATGTATCTAATCACAGATGATTTATATAGATAAGATTCGTTTTCACGTTCTCGATTTAATAGTTTTTATTTGTCCACATTAATCATATGTGATTAGATACATATAATCACATGTGATTAAGTATAAGAGAACAACTAATGAATCGACAATGCAAAATGCATATTGTTTACATAAATCATATGTGATTAAAACATAGAATCATATGTGATTATATATGTCTAATCACATGTGATTTTTTATGTGGATAAAATAAATTTTTGTTATTCTTATGTATTTAATCATATATGATTGTAGGTATCCAATTACATATGATTTATTTAGATAAAAACCAGTCTTATCCATATAAATCATATGTATACATATAATCATATGTGATGGTGCTGGCTGGTGGTGGGGGTGTTGGTGTCGGGTTGTGGTAGTGGGTGGGTGTTAGTGGTGGTGGGTGGTGGAAACAAATAATGTCCATATAAATCATATGTGATTAAATACATATAATTAC